CAAACCAAGTACTTTAGTGTCTGTTGGTTTTGAAACGCGTAATACAACTCGGTTTTCATGGCTAACGGTTTGTTGGTCTTGAAGTCCGTGATAGGCATTGGACTCGCGGTCACTGTATGTAATACAGGAGAATGATCAAGATATTTATGAAATGATTATTTATGTTGCAAAGATTTATTAATATTTATAATAAACTAGAATAGAATTTTAATTAAAAATTTACAGTCTATATAAAGTCTTTATATATAAATTTACCTAGTTCGTATTCACATAGAAAAATAATATTAGGTAAGAACAATACAAAAGTTAATTTATTAAATAATTCCCTCAACATTTCTAATTATATTAAATACAATTAAAACAATTTGGTGAATTAGTTTTATATTATGACTAATTAGTTTTATTAATGAAACTCATTCTAAATGCTCCTGGTATAAGCTTTAAAATCACTGCAAACAGGTAATTGTAGTTGTCAACAATCATATTATTTTTCATGCAAAATGTACATAATTTTTGTACTTAAGCTTAAAAACATTAATTGTTTCTGTATTTTGCACATTTTTTACAAATGCCCTTGTTGAAATTATCATTGATATATCATTATTAAATAAGCACCTTTATTTGCTCATTCAGTTTAATCACGATTTAAAAGCAAATTCACAATTATAATCGTAAACAACATAATAATTTACTATTGTAAAGGTTATATTAAATGCAAATTTTATTCATTTAGTTCATATTAGTTACGTACATTAGTTACACACATAGAATATATTTAATCACATTTGCCCTGAATACTTTAACAATAATAGTGGTGTTTCGCCAAATTAATTCGCAATTACAATTTGTATTAGCAAATAATGCTCTCATTTATTATAGAATAATTAAATGTTTAAATTATAACAAAATTACAAGTTATTTGTTTAAACTTAAAGTTGCATATTTCTAGATCAATAGCATCTATTCATTCTTAATTTTTAGTAATTTCTTTAATTAATAAAATAATAATTTAATTTTGAGAGAGAGACCTTTAATTAATTAATTAATGTGATATAACAAATAGTCAGTTTATTTAGTGGAACAAATTTTTAAATAACTATAATACTTTATGATATAATTAGATTGTGTACAAAGTACGTAACTAATATGAACTAAATGAATAAAATTTGCATTTAATATAACCTTTACAATAGTAAATTATTATGTTGTTTACGATTATAATTGNCATGAAAAATAATATGATTGTTGACAACTACAATTACCTGTTTGCAGTGATTTTAAAGCTTATACCAGGAGCATTTAGAATGAGTTTCATTAATAAAACTAATTAGTCATAATATAAAACTAATTCACCAAATTGTTTTAATTGTATTTAATATAATTAGAAATGTTGAGGGAATTATTTAATAAATTAACTTTTGTATTGTTCTTACCTAATATTATTTTTCTATGTGAATACGAACTAGGTAAATTTATATATAAAGACTTTATATAGACTGTAAATTTTTAATTAAAATTCTATTCTAGTTTATTATAAATATTAATAAATCTTTGCAACATAAATAATCATTTCATAAATATCTTGATCATTCTCCTGTATTACATACAGTGACCGCGAGTCCAATGCCTATCACGGACTTCAAGACCAACAAACCGTTAGCCATGAAAACCGAGTTGTATTACGCGTTTCAAAACCAACAGACACTAAAGTACTTGGTTTGGTGCGGCAACTCTGGCACAGTGGCCACCGCACCCGTCAAGACTGACCCCCAGTACTGGCATGTGTTCGCCAAACTGGCCGCACCCGCCGGTAATTATTACCGGTTCACTCACGGCCTCCCGGCGTCCAATTGCCGTCACGTGTCTAAAATAGCGGCCGCACCCGTCAAGGGCTACGTTATGCTATGGAATAGGGACTGCGGTTAGTAATATTGTTGCGATAGTTATAATGAGATACTCTGGTTATGTTGTTTTATGCATGTACATTTTTTACTATGTCACTTTTTTGAATTATTTATTTGATATACTTGATGTTTATAATTATTTTAATTTAATAAGGTGATGATAATAACCCCAATGTTGACGATAATGGGTTTATCAATTGCGTGTCTCCAAATGGTGTGACCGCACCGACCGATATAAACAAACCTGGTCCACTTTATTATTGGAAAATAATACCAAAGCCAAAATAAGTTTATAAAATATTTTAACGTATTCTATTGTATTAATACTTGTATTGTAAGAGTATTTCAAACATGCTGTTATTATTAGTTTGTTTGTGTATTTATGGTTTATAAAACAAATAATTTAATTTATATTATGATATTTTTATCTAAACTTTCAAAATGGCAATAATCTCTTTTACTATTAGTTAAGATTAATTAAAATGAATTGTTTTTTAAATTCATCAATATAAAGTTGTGTAATATGCAAATTAAATAATCTATAATATGATAATTATACTGTCAATAATTTTTTTGTTTATAATTATTTTTGCAAATATACATGTATTAAACAATGTTAATTGTGTTTGCTAATTAATTGTAAAAAATATTTGCACAATATATTCTGATAAAAACTTATGTACTAAAATGTATTTTTACGTATCATTGTACGTAATGAATAATATTGATTGTAATCAACACTTAATAAATTATTTATTCAGGTTAAAAGCTACTATTCTGTTAAATTATAGAGATTCAGGTGAATTATTTTATTATTAAAATTTTTAACTATATCATTTAAGTTGAGATAACTAATTGACAGCAATAAGAATTCACATGAGACGGAAATGTATAGCAATTAGAGATCGACTAAAAGTGTTGGCTTTCATCGAGAGGTTGTCTAAACACGATATCGGCTTTAATTGTCTCGATTTGTTTCGTATGAATTCACTTGAGTTTGCATTTTATATATACGCTGTAATCAGTAATTATTTGTTAATTAACAACATTGCAAATTAATTGTAAATAAATTAATGTAAAATAAATATTACATTTATCATTAGCATTTATTTTTCAATATAAAATTATAATTAAAAATTTTATACATTTTAAAAAATAAGATCTTAGCTTAAAATAATGTTGAATGTTCATAATGTTATAATTACTAAACCTATAATCATGCATTTAAAATTTTATATTAGTAGTAGCAGTGCCACTGGACCCACAGTGCGGTTGGACCCACAATGGCGGAAATGCCTTACCAAGCCTAGCCAAGCCTTACCAAGCCTACACAATGGTTGCCATAGTAACTACACCTTACCAAGCC